TACCGGTTCCGCGAATGGACTTGCTCACCAGTTTGCTCGGACGGGCGGAAAATGGCCGAGCAACAAGAGCGTTAGGGTGGCAGGGCGTGGCGGGGCGTGGCGGGGCGTGGCGGGGCGTGCCGGGGCGTGCCGGCCAGTGCATTCCAGATGAGGGAAGCCCCCGGGGGACGTCTCTGTCCCCGCTAACGATACCACGGACCTACACTGTCACGTCAAAAGTTGCGGGAGTAGTTTGAAGTCCCGGTTAAACATGCCGTTCGCGTGCTGCTTTAGTCGCCAGACGGTCAAAAATACTACGTTTTCGATTTGAATACGATAGACACTGAGAGAGATGGAGAGAGAGGAAGAGAGAGAGAGGGAGGAAGAGAGAGAGATAGAGAGAGAGAGAGAGAGAGAGAGGGGGGGGGGAGGAGGGAGAGGGTAGTAGGGAACAGGTGCAGACGGGCCAGTTCTATATTCCTTTCCCCGCAGAACAATCACAGTAAACAGAGGCGAGCCACAGCGGGCCCACCAAGAAATACTGTCCCGGCCACAAACTAGAGAGAGGCAGTCAGCGTCGGGCGGGAAGCAAAGGAGGGGGCGGGGGAGAAGAGCGGGAAGGGGAGGGGGGGAATGGCACCGAAAAGGAATCTTCTTCGCCGCGAGGTTACGGGAGAAGAGGATGAACGACCTGCCGAGGGCGGTCATTGTGGACTTTGGCGCTTGTTCGAGAGGGTATAATAGCACGGGGCGGAGATACGGGCTCGAATATGTTTTCATGCATTCTGCATGGAACGGTCGAACTACTCATCTCAGCTCCGGGCGAGAGGGCGCGAACGGAATCAAGGAGTGAGAGTATATGAGAAAGATAAAAATAAAAGAACGAAAATGCGAAGTGACTTATAGGGATAACAGGAGGGGGGAGACTCAGCAACGGAGGAAGAGCAGCAAAACAGCGTCGAAAAGGAAAGAGAAGGAAATCCATACTTTGTGGCTGCTGACACTGCAGCTCTCTTAATTCCCCAGCCGCATACACTCGTCCCTTCGCTCCTGATTGAATCTTAGAAGTTAAAAGAGCGAATCCCCTTCCACCCCCTCCCTGTCCCCCCTCCCAGGTGGGCTGTTCCGCTGTCAACTTCTGCGGTAAATATCACGACGACGGCAGTATTAAAAGGGACAAATTTAAACCAACAGCATTTTCATATTTTTTTTTATCCCCTGATGGGCTTGAGCAGTCGCGCACTGCTTCTTCTTCTTGCTACTGCCACGACAAACGGAGCATCCTCCCAAAATAAAAAATAAAAAGACTGGGCCCTTGCAGACCAAACTATACGCTGGCTTTTACTTGCTCACCCGGCAAACACCAACCCAAACCCGCCCCTCTTTCCTTCTACCCCCTTTCCTCTCCCTCCCCCCCCTCTCTCTCTCTCTCCCTCCTCTCTGTTTCTCGCTCTGCATGGCGTCCCAACGCGTAATTTATAGCTCTGCTGGCGTCTCCACCACGGACCGAAAAAGTCACCACCACTACGCGGGGGATTCGTTCGAATGCTGCTATGTACTCTCTCTTTCTCTCTAAATGGTGCACTCTGGGTACATGCAGTGTCCCTGTGGAACAAACTACCAGTAACTAGTATACCGTCCAAAAAATTGTTCCCATGTCATTTAAATGTATGCTCAAGAAGTTCCTTCTTGATTTCCAACACAACATACACTCTAAAAATCTTTTTACTAAAACCGTGTTTTCGGGTGCTTCTCTTAAGCAATGCTTTCCATGTGCTGCATTGCAATCAGGTCTACTCCAGTCTCCAGTCGTATTCCTGAGTCATTCTCTACAGAATTATTCACACAATAGTATACACACTGCCCATTTACTGCACAAGAGGGAAATAACAAGAGTGAAGCGAACTCTCAGCCCCCACCTCTATACGTCTCTCTTTCACGCACACAGACAAACACGCGCACGGCAACTTTACCTGCGGATGGCATTAAGCCGCCAGCAGGTCCGTCCGGCAGACTATCGAGCGGCGAGTATTATTGCGGGTGGAGGATTAGCCGGCTGGAGTGCACAACATAAGTTGCCCCCCGGAGGCTTCGCCGCACGCCGCCCTGCCCCGCCCCGCCCGCACAGCAACAGCCCCATCCTATCCCCTCTCCTCCCGTCTCCGCCAACCCCACTGCAACTTTTCCGCGTGAAAACTTTGCGCGTTTTTCATGAGGCGTGTACGCCACACCCTCACGGCTGCGCCGGGTCTCTCTCTCTCTTTCTCTCTCTCTCTCTCTCTCCCTCCAAGACACGACGAGTAGACAAGCACGGCGCTCCTCATCCCCACCGCTTTGTGTGTACTCCGCCAAAAACAACAACGGCACGCCTTGATTTACCACCGAGCGTTGAACAGGCGCAGGCGTGTTGTCTTTTGCGTTCAAGGGTAGGCGCTTCGTTATGAGACACGAAAAAGAAACTAATAACACAGGGACATCGAATGAATTATTCTCGGCAGCACAGCAAAATGTGTTTGACACGCTTAACAATATGAGCGCGATCATCAAACAATGCGAATTGTATAAATAGTATAAGAAATTGTAAATAGTTCAGGGGAATAAGATTATTTAAAAACAAATGGTTTAAGTGGCACTTATTGCGGTCAATTTTATTTAGACTTCCTGTTGTCCACATAAAGATAAAACTCTGACATATAGGATGTATTAAATTTAAACAGACAGTATTACCCGGAACGCGGTTGTGTGATGATACACATACAGCGGCAAAACTATGGTGGAGGGGAATTGAGGGAAAACAGGAAAACCACTATTGTGAGTCCCTCCCACCCCTCCCGCCCCCCGTGTACCTTCATCCCTCATCCGGACTGGATAAAGCCGGTCCAGTGTGCAGTGCTTATACCCCCTGGCTTACAAGGCCATCAAACTGTCGGGCTGCCTGCTGTCATAAGGTGGCTGCCGGCCTGGCCATCGCTCTGACCCCCTTCTGCTCCCCACCCACCCCTTACTCGGAAATATAATCCTCCGCAAACTCGACCTCCAAACGCCTCGGAAGGCCGGGACCTGACAACATGACTCGCACGATTTTCAAGTCGCAAGTGACGTAGCTGCAAAAAAAGAGAAAGCAGAAATTGGAGAAATGGGTTTGGACAAATCGTTTTCTTTGATTGCAGGCATTCAAATCTCTGAGAGCAGCTGTGTTTTTGTTGCGTGACCTCATACAAACGCACAGCCGCACAGTCACACCAGGCGGTCACCGCACCGCTCGCCATATGCCCTGGGGATCAGGAGGTGTCGCCTCGCTACAGGTCGCCACACTTCCAAAAAGCCGGCTCTACTGAAGTGATGGACTTTTATTTTTTATCCCGGGGCGCGGATAAAAACAATCGACTATTTTACGAGCAGGCGGATATCACAGCGAGAGAGCGAGTGGGTGGAAGAGAGAGGCACGATCGGCAGCGATAACGCGAAAGAAAGTAAACGAAAAGATCGATTGCCGTGGAAAAAATATTAGAACGGCGTCACGGAGGACTGTGCACAAGGCGATAATGAGCAGGCATGCGATGTAATTTATGCAATGCCTCTAATTACTTTGAGTCTGATAATGACGACAGGAGAAACAACCGGCAAGAGATACACATTTTAAATTGGATTCATTTCGTACCGTCCAGAGCCAGAGCCTTCTCAAGCATTTACTGTGCGACGATTATCACAGCAGCGTTTTATTTTTATTATTTTTTCCCAAAATTATCGATCCCATGTAGCGTCACAAACAGAAGGCAGGCATAAATTTATGCAGATGAGGGTTGTGTGTGCGTGCGAAAGTGTTGGCACTCCAGGACCAGCAGCAGTTAGGATGCAGGCTTCCCATCACTCGGGCCGCCTGCTCAGCAGGCAGTGCGTTCCCAGCGAGGAGCCGCCCCGCCCGGCCCGTAAGCCCCCTCCCTCACTCTCCCTTCACGTCGTTGCCTCTGGAATATCAGCGCAGTTAACTGCATTTTTATCTTATTTCTCCCTCATTCTTCCACTACTTGAACCCGCTGTAGCAGCTGCCTCGGTTCCCGGCTGCGGGCCGGCGGCAGCGAGAGAACATCAGCTGCAGGTTTGGCCTCTGGCGGCGCCCGCGCTTTAAACCGTTTGTAAACGTACCGTAAGCCTCTCGCAAGCCCTGGTGTGTGAAACGCGCCGGACTAAACAGATCCAGGCGGCGTTACAAATAGATCAATTTGGCTAAGTTTCAAAGCGACGAAATACCAAATACCACTCGTACCTCGGTGGTCGCTGTGCCCCGTCGGAGAAAATGCGTATTCCCGCACGCAGGACACGCGGAAGGATTGCCTATATATTCTTCATACGAGGCCATAAGGCGACATAGCAAGAGACGATACAGTAAAAAAACTGCCTTTTTTGCTCTGCACTGTAAATTTCGTCATAAATTAACGACACTTCTATAGTTAATTTTGTAATCAAAGTAGCTTCAATGTCAACAGTTTGTGTCGACGAAGGTTGTACAATAACAATTGTCAAACGCAATTCATTTTGAGTAAACAGATTCTCGTCATGAAACAACAAATTTGCTGGTTTCAAGTAATATGAAATACAAAATCAGTTGACAGTGTGAGAGCGCCCAGCAGGTAGACCGCTGAGGCACACCAGCGCGTGCCGGGTTGCCCACCCTCGACTCTGCGGGCGCTGGGCCCGCTAAGCGCTGGAGTCGGGCGGGCGGGAGGAGGCCGCACGCATTGTGCTTCCCGAAATGATTCCGTCACGCGGGAGTGGATGGATAACTTGCGAGACAAAGGGACTTCCACCCCGCGCGGCCGACCCGGGGCCCCTGTCAGGTCCTCAAAGCGGGGTCCAGTTTGCTGGTCCGGATTGAGGGACGGCCTGGGGCGGGCAACATGCCGGCCGACGAGAAGAGCGTGTCCCCGAAGGCCTACCGCCCACCGCTGTGCCGCCCGGCCCGGAGTATCTGTCCCGCTCCCGCTCTCACCTTTCCCTCCCCACCTCTCAGCTACACACACTCGTTCATATGTCTGCCTGTGGCCCCGCACCCCTGGGACCCCCC